CTTTAAAGGTTCCTTCCTCAAGAAACCATCACTGGATCCCACTGTACTGGACAATTTTTGTGCAGTCTCCTACTTTCCCTTTTAGGGAAGATGGTTGAGAAATTGGTGGCGTTGCAGCTCCAAAGGATCCTGGATGAAACGGATTATCTTTTCAGTTGGGTTTCAGGCCCAGATATGGGACGGAAACAGCACTGGTCACACTTCTGGATGATCTCTGGAGGAAGCAGGCTGAGGGTAGTGCATCTATCCTTGCTCTTCTTGACCTTTCAGTGGCTTTCGATACCATCAACCATGGTGTCCTTTCGGGTCAGCTCAGGGAGTTTGGGGTTGGGTTTCAGGCCCAGATATGGGACGGAAACAGCACTGGTCACACTTCTGGATGATCTCTGGAGGAAGCAGGCTGAGGGTAGTGCATCTATCCTTGCTCTTCTTGACCTTTCAGTGGCTTTCGATACCATCAACCATGGTGTCCTTTCGGGTCAGCTCAGGGAGTTTGGGGTGGGTGGCACAGTACTGGTTCACCTCCTTCCTCCAGGGCTGGTCTCAACTGGTGTTGATAGTGAGAGGTGAAGCAGAGGGGGTATGCTGCACACCCCGTTGACAAAAGAATGTTGACTGGTGGGACCCAGAAGGAGAGCCTTCTCTGCTGTGGCCCCCACCCTATGAAATACCCTCCCCCCAGAGGTGAGACAGGCCCCTATTTTCTTGACCTTCCAGAAAGCAGTTAAGACCTGGCTTTGCCAACTTGCATGGGGCGAGAAAAGGTGCAACCAACCCTGGGGGTGGCTAGCACCTTGAAAATGCTCCTGTATGTTAATATCTTTTCTATGAGCAGCACCTTAGAAGAGATTATTATTTATGTATGTATTTGGTTTTTATTGTATTTTTATTGTATTTTAATTAATATTTATTTGTTGTTTTTATTGTAAATCACACAGAGTCACTTCCTCGTGAGATGGGTGGTAACCAAATTTGAAATATAAATAAATAAATAAGATTCCTATACTAACTGGCACTTCAAAAAATAAGTTGCCTTACCCAGCTGTACTGGATTCCATTAGTATTGCCAATGTTGCTTAAATCAAAGAAGTATTTTCCTTCAACATCAGGTCTGACAGCAACTTAATAAGATCTGTTTGATAACTTTACACAACTAACATCAGATTGTATTTAATCACTACCATTCTTGGAATTAAACCTTTAAAGATAACTTGTATTTTGCATATTCCTTCTTTTTGCTCAGCACTATAAAGCTGAATTAGATGTCCAATTGGAAGTGTCTGTATAAACAGTGAACTAGACATTTGATACAATCAGGTTGTAGTTATCCATACAAATTAGCAAAATCTTCTCCTTAACAACAATCACTAACTGTTGACCAACAGTCATTAACTAACAACAGTTTTATGGAAACAAACAAGGATGAAGTTGCTAACCACAACTTAAGAAAGGAAAGGAATGACACTGTCATAATTTGTCAGCTCCGAGAATGAACAAATGTTAACTACAATCATAATCTCCTTACAACCTTTTGGTATAGTGTTTCCACATTCTAAAACAAATGTTTCTGGTTCGCCATTTGCTCCTTTTCTACTTTTCATGTAAAAAAAGGGAATGATAGTTATGTTCAATAATAGCAGTGTAAATTAATTATATAAGATTTAAAGTCCAAAATAGCATGATAAATAAGCTCTTTTTTTTTTTTAAGATATAGAAAGTTACTTGTTTTTCAACAATTACAGATAGTCTTCAACATGGTCACTAAGAGAACCACATGACTGAGAGAAAGACAAAGAGAGGCACTGCGAAGATTGCTGCTTGTTGCTGTCTCATTTAGATAAAGTTCTCTAGTACAGCATCAGTGTTACTCTCCCTCTGGTATGTGCTGTTGTCAGGTGCAGAAATTTGGGTGTAAACTTGTGCATTGGTCGGAAAATGATTTTTTTTACTACCGTTTACTACAATCGTATTTGAGAATGGCTGCTATCCAAAGCAGTTGCTAAATGAGGACTACCTGTATTCAGAACACAACCTTCTGTATTCAGAAGGGTATATACTGAATCACAATTTAAAAGCAAAATGCTTCCACATCTCACAACATAATCACATACTTCAATCAGCTGAATAAGCTGTCTACACTAGATTTCTATGTAATGTTTATACCAATTACTAACCATATTTCTAAATAAAAATATAATATATTACTATAAAATAATAAATTAAAAATGGAAATGTGTTATCAGTTTGCCAGTTTGATCAACAATATCAAAATATATATCCGCTTTTGTGAAAGTATGTGCCAAAAAGAAAAATAGAAAATGGTTGTAGAAAATAGCACCATTACTGCAAATGATGCACTAGGCAGGCATGAATCACTACTATGCAAAGCAATTTATTCTCTTGTCATACAAGTACATTCTACAAGCCAGAAGCAAGTATATACTCTAGCATGCTTTCAGAAATGGAAAAACATGAGAACTGTGAATACTTTCAAATTCAATTCATCTGCTTCCCACCAACTAATTTGCTCAAATATAAAAAACTGCTTTATAAAAATGATATTACAGGTAGTCCTTGCTTAACAACGCTACTTAGGACTGGAAACTATGTCATTAAATGATGCGGTCGTAAGTCAAAAAACCACATGACTGCACCACTTAATGATGGCAGTTCCTGCAGTGCCAGTTGCAGCTGTTAAATGAGGGCCACGCAGATCATTAAGCGACTTCCAACTTCCTACTGGCTTCCCCATTGACTTTGCTTGTGGGAAGCTGGTGGGGAAGTTGCAAATTGTGATCATATGTCCATGGGACGGCTGTAAGTATGAGGTCCAGTCATAACTACCATTCATTCAGCACCATTGTTGAATGAGTGCTAATTAAACAAGGATTACCTATTCTCTATAAGTGAAAGAGTCATGAAATTTGATTGGGGCAAAATGAATAATTCTGGACTGCTCCATAACAACAATATAGCCTCCCTAATTTTTCCAATCACAGATGCAATGATTACAAATCAATCTGACTTCTCTTTCTCTAAAATCATAACACTTTAATGGCTTGCTATGAATGATGAACACTCCTCTCACCAAGTGATCAACCCAGAAGCAATATTCTCTAACCTTGGAATTAGATCTATATCTGAATGTAAGAGTTATGTAGGGAAAATACTGTTTTCCCAGACAATCTTGCAGTTTCTTCAGAAAGGGCATGGGTCTCCCTGTCAGTGGTAGTGGTATCCTCAAACGCAAAGTGGATGCAGATTTTGCAGCCCACCAATACTGTTTCCAAATATAACAATTTGTTCTTCATGAATGAATAGTAATAATGAACATATATAGGGAAAAGGTTATGCTCTGAGATACAAACTAAAATTATGTAGGGGAAATCTGAATAACAACTTTAATTAGCTTAACAATAGAGCAAGAAATGAAGGGCATACAGTTTAATGTTTTTTCGTCCTTTTCCAACCAGTCTTAGATTGTAGTTTAGCTCTGTGGAACTCAGTGGAAGTCCTTAACAATCAAGGCAGCCCCTTCAGTCAACCATGATCTTGAATTCTGTTTTCTGATCACAAAACATTGCAATAGGTTTCTTCTTTGTACATAAAAGTATAAACCATAAGAGCCTTTTTTCTGGTAAAACAAAATCCTTAATACTAGAATGATGCTGCTCTAGTTTAATTCAGTTTGTTTCTTTTGGCTTTTCTCTTTAGTTATGATCATGTTTTAACTGCAGTTATGTTAGCATATTCTAAGTTGAATGTTTATAGTTATCACCAATAACTATTGGCTTTATTTTTTATTATTGCATTTCATTTTAAGTTATGTTAGACACTTAAGGTCAGTTGTACCTTTAAAGATAGTGTAAACATACATAAATATAAATACATCAGATGAAACAAACAACATTACAGTGAAAGACAACATTTCCTTACCCCAACAAAAGGAAAACAAAGTTACACATATTACCTAGAGAAACAGAGCAGCTATTTATAGTTCTTTCAGATTTTTGATATTAAAAGTTATAAGCCAAGAAATTTATTGAATAATGCAATGCAAAAAATAATAATAAAATAATAATAATAAAAAAAAGTGGCAGCGAAGTAAACTATTTCATTCCTGTCAGGCACAGCAAATGAATCAGTGCAGATCCCCTTATCTAGATCCCAGGTAAGCATTATTTACTTATTTATCAAATTTATGTGGTATTTTACTATAGCTTGGGAGAGAGGGAGGGAGGGAAGGAAGGATTACGATGTTGATGAACACTTATTTATAACCATAATGAAAGATATCTATATAATGTGCCCATAATTACTTAGAATCAAGATTTGAATTTTAAAAATGTAATTAGTTAAAATATGGCTCACAATATAAAAACAGTACAAATACAGCAAAATAAATAGAAATGCAAGGGAAATAAACAAAATGGGAAATTCAGAGAACTATTTCAGAACATACATAACATATAACGTATCTTAATTGAACAAGACTATTCATACATACCAATTTCTCTATTTCTGATTCAAGGTTTTGTATGCAGTCTAGCTTTCGCTTACGACAGCGCTGTGCTGCAATTCTATTTTTACTTCGTCTTCTAATATCATGGATACAATCCAGCTCTTCTGGAGTCAATTTGTGCATTTTCAGAAATGACTGAAAGTCATTTCTGGAGAGTGAAATTATCTTCTGTGGATTAAATGGTAGCTTTACCTGGAAGAAAGATATTTGATTAAACTTTCATAACCCGTTAGCGTTCAAAGCTGAAACACTGAATCTATATCCTTCTGCAATCAGCTTGTGTGCAACCCTCAAAACATCTGCAAGGTCATACTAATGAAATTCCTTAGCACAATGGTGATTTTTCCCCCTTTTTTAAAAAATAATTCAATTCTGTAACAGGTAATTAACCCTCTAGTACATTTTTTAAAAGTTTGATTTGTGTAAACTCATCTCCCTGGAATAGGTGAATTAGTTAAATCCTGCTTATTAGTGTTCACACTGAGTTGCTCCCACACCTCCTACAGCCTTTGGAAGCCAAAACTGCAGTAAAATAACATTGCTGGCTAAAAAGGTTGCCTGCCTCTATTTATATGAACCTTTGCAAAGTCCTAAACAGCCACCAAAAATGTTAAGTCTAATTCTGAGATTAGATTATTCCAGTTTATAATTGTGGATAAAAGGTAAACACATGAGGAAAATAGATTGTATTTATATTCTTAAAAGAATGTTTGAATGAAGAACATGAAACTGAAAAATCATGCAAGGGTAATATGAAAGCTGAATATATTCAGCTGTGTAGGAAGATTCTGGTAAGACAGCCAATGCAAATTTTAATATTCAAATTGATAAATATGTACATTGATATAATAATGTCCAAGGATCCTCCGCAAAAATACTGAAAAACAGACATTTTATTCCATCAGGTAGTCTGAGTCATGGCAAACCTGGGTGTTGGTTATCCTAATTTCGGGGACATCTTCTTTTCAGTTAACTACATGTCAGTAAGCAGCACGGTTTTTAAGAAAAAAGAATAATTTGCACATTCTCACCTCACATTCCTGTTCTCTTGCTGAAAAAGATTCACTGTCACCCTCTGTATCTGTTTCAGAATCCTCTTCCAAATTTATCACACATGTATAAGGACATTGCTCAGGTTGTTGTTCTGGAACACAGTCTCCACTATTAACCTCAGTGGTGCCTTCAGTACTGAGGTTACTGATGAAGGGACAAGTAACAGAGCTCAATGTTGTAAAAGTTCTTGGAGTGCCATGCTCTGGACTGTCACTGATCCTGATTCCTAACCAAGGACATTCAGTTTTCTTTTCTGAACAGCTTTGTTCTGAAAATTCTTTTGGCAATGCAGGAGACAAGTTTATTTGATATGTTGTATCTGTGTTGTAAACATCACTCCAAAATCCTTTTGCTAACTGTTCTGCTATCTCTCTTTCCACACTGCTCCGATGGCTAGGTGATGTACTGCTCACATTTGCCTGCTCATACAAATTAGATTTTGGAGTTGGGCCCTCAACAGTGCTTTCACTTACTGGTTTGCAATTTCCGGCTCCTGTAGCAATGCCATTTTTTTCAGCTACTGTATTGCTTTGCATACCACTTAAAGTTAAATTGCAGTATTGATCATATGCATTTAAGAAAGAAGCAGAATAAAGTCCATGAGTAGCAACAGAAGAGTTATGAGGGACAAAGTTAGAATCTATCTTCTCTGTCAAACATTCAGTACTCTTAACCAGAGAAGTTGTTTCATTCGTAAACTCTTCTTTTCCATTTTCTTCCATTGCTACCTGAGTATCTTCACATTTTGAGTCTGAATGCACAGCTGTACATTCAAGAGGTTTTTGTATAGCACCACTAATATTTGATTCAAACTGATGAATAGATGCACCAGATGTTACCTGAACTTCTTTAATACCAGAACCAGATTCTAAAACAGGGATTTTATCACTCTCCAAAGCTTTTTTAAATTTCCTGTATTTGGGGCAGAGGGACTCTACATCAAAAAAATGATCCTTTTCTGATACAGAATCATGGGTTTGATTAGGGTTGTCTTGCAGTAGCGACACTTCTGAATTTTGTTCACTTCTGTATGCCTTCAGCTGAGAATTTTTAGCACATTCATTTTGCATGATTTCATCCTCATCATCTATTTCTAAATCTCTAGCATCAGCACTTCCTACATTACTGTATTCTTTCTGACAACTTGGTTTACAACATTTCTTTTTTGGACATTCCTGCTGTCCTGACTTATGGTCCAGAAACCTGAATTTAAGAAACTGAAAGCAAGATTCCTCAATGTCATGTATTCCCAAGAACTCAGCACATTTGCAAACTTCAGCCACATTGTTCTTATCTAAAATAAGTTTGGAAGTATAGGCAAATTGAAGCAAAGGTTCAAATCCTTTCAGTGTAACCTGTTCAGGTGCAGAAAAGAGACATGCATAATTAACTATAAAAGTGATAAAAAAGATTATTTATAAGAATAAATATTTGTACATATAAATAGCAACATGGAACTTTTAAAACTATTATTAAATATAATATAATATTAAAATTGTCCAGAAATAAGTATAGGTTATGGTCTTGGCCTATAAACCTTTGGTTTAGGCGTTAACAAAAAACTCTCTCATATTGCAGAACTGACCTACTCATATTTATGGCAAATATTAGCAGGGAGAAATCCAAGAAAGTAATCAGAGAACAAAATTTACGACAAACTGAATAATACATCTTTTACAGATTATTCCAGTTACAGATACTTCTACTAAAAAAATCACTGCATTTGTTTTGAGGTTCTTCAGAATAGTTTGTCCAAATAAAGAATATCCTAACTTCTTTCTAAAGCTTAATGTAGATACACATTCAATGGCATTTCAAGTTTGCTACCTCTACAACATACTGAGCTCAGAAACCTTTCATTTGGAAAAGGTAATACAAATTAATTGTGCTTCAAATACATGAATTGCACAACCCAAACCCAATATATGAACCTGTGGCTGGAGCCCATGTATTTTGGACTATATGCATATTCCACAGTACAACTCATGTATGCAGAAGATTAAAATGGAAACTGTGAGAGTGAGAGGAACTGAGCACAAACTTTTGAATAGTTTTGAGAGCCTGGCACAGAGTATAATGTATATTCTAATTTTAAGTGGAGGAAAAAAATATTTATTCAAAATAAGGTTCTGCTACTTAATCCAGGCCTTTAAAATCC